AATACGGTCAAGCAAGCACGATCAAAGATGTGTTTTGAATAAAGGACAAGGAGGTTCAACAGTTAAGCAAGTGTGTGTGTGCGAGTGTGTGCGTGTGGGTGGGTGGGTGGGTGTGGGTGTGTGTGCGCACGCATGGGTCGCCAAGATCCACCAATAGCACCTCTCCCTGCTCCCCCAATAAAATGAAGTTACGAAAACAAGCAAGACTCCCCAACCAAGTCTGTGTTGTTCGATAATTAAGTGCCCATACATGAGTTTGTTCAACACACACTTTTCAGTAAAAGTAATAAACATAGGTTAGCAAACCTCCTACCTGCAGAAATGGGGGTAACAAACAAAGCCGTAGAGCGAAAATGTCCAAATTCTGTATCACTCCGGAGATACCCAAGGCTAAGCAAATGTCTCCCCTGAGCTCTCCTCGTCTTTGACTGTTGCCCCTTGTCTTCCGATTCTTGATGTTATTCACCGGGTTGTTACAGAACAACAAGCTTTCTATTTATGCTGCAGTCGGTTATATGACCGGGGTAGGGTAAGGTAGCGTATACCGTCGTGTTGGTTAGGTAGGATATACCCTAGGATATAGGCTACATGGACCGAGAAACAAATATGAGCCCTTTTGGAGACGATCTTTGTCTGTGTCGGTGTTTCCTGAAGCCTGTTGGGTTTTTATCTTTCTCCCAGCTAGATTCTGCTGTTTAATTCTGGTGATGCCACACTACCTGTCGTCTGTCGATAATTACCAGGGATCAGCTATTGCCGCGTGTCCATCGAAAGATGTGGCAGAGACACCACCACCTTCGAAGGGCATGGAAAAAGGAGAGCAGTCAGTGGTGCCTGAGTTTCGGAAGGCTCGTGATTCGGCAGTGCCAATGGAGGGAGTGGATGAAGAGGAGAGAGAGAGAGAGGATGGTGGGGAAGAAGGTGCTCAGGTGAGCGCAGAAGCAAGGGTTGATAAGCTTGATGACAGCAATAAGCGGAAGAGAAGGGAGATGACAGCAATGAAAGAGGGGGAGGAAGAGGAGGTAGAGGAGGGGGAGGAGGGGGAGGAGGGCGAGGACGAAGACGAGGAAGATGAGCTTGCGTCATTCCTAAAAAAGAGGCAGATTCAAAGAAGGCTTGGGAGTGATAGCCGGGAAGACAAAAAAGAGGGACAAATAAGCGGCGGTGTCACATCTAACGTTGACAGAGAAACTTCCGCGAACCAGGAAGCATGCGACGATCATCGCATGGACCAGGACGTTGAGCAGGACCACCACGGAGGTATACAAGGTGGGTTGCGAGAAGGTTCGGCTACTGCAAAGGCTGAAGAGGCAGCGGCAGAAAGCGATGGTTTAAATGAAGACATGGTAAAAGATGGGGGCAACGGTAGGGAAGCAATTGACACGGAGAAAGGTACATGGGCCAGTCAGGGGAAAATTAGGGTTGGGGGGGATGGCTTCATGGCAGGGACCTCAACTACAAATGAAGAGTGCTCCAACTTTGCTACAGCGCCAGCATCTGCGGTCAAGAGCCTGTTAGATGTAAGTTATGGAATTTGGTGTGTGTGTGTGTGTGGTGGGGAGGGGAGGGGAGGGGGAGAGCAGGAAAAGGAAGGGAGAACACCGTTCTTGACATTACTTGATGATTGGCGCTGTGTGGCTAAAGACAGGGCCGTGTGTAGCAATCATCCATACTTGCAACCGCAGAAGCCACACGGCCGTGCGGTCCGGTGTGTGCAGAAGAGTGTACTACCTAAGGAAGAGATCCTGTTCAAATACAGCAGCGGAAATAGCCTTAGAAAGGTCTCTGGGACATCAGTCCTGACTGTTATGTGGTGACATTACTTCCCAACTTCTTTTTTTTTTCCGTGCTCCTGCACCATACGTGCACGTGTGTCGTACATGCACAATTGCCTGCACGCCGTGCACTTGTGTCTATTCAATCATCTTATTGCTTTTGCTCCTATCGCGGTTCTATAAATGTCAGCCAATGTTCCAAATCAGAGGCCCCCCCCACTCCTCCCTCCCTCTCTCTCTCTCTCTCTCTCTCTCTCTCTCTCTCTCTCTCTCTCTCTCTCTCTCTCTCTGTGTGTGTGTGTGTGTGTGTCCTCTCTCTCTCTCTCTCTCTCTCTCCCTCTCTCTCTCTTCCTTCTTTGCTCCTTTCTCTCTCTTCCTTCTTTGCTCCTTGCTCTTTATCCTATCAACCTCGTCCCCTCAGCATGTCCATGTCGAATTAGCTGTCCTCTTTCTCTTTTTCTCTCTCTCTCTCTCTCTCTCTCTCTCTCTCTCTCTCTCTGTGTTGCACTTGCTCTTTATTCTATCAACCTCATTCCCTCAGCATGTCCGTATCGAAATCCTCTGCATGTCTTTTTTTTTTTTCTGCCTTGCCTATTTTGCCTTCTCTTCCCCTTGGTCATGCCCTCTGCTCCTGGTGATGTGCAAAAATTGGTGACTGGCAGCAATCCCACCTGATTGTGTACCGTGCCTCATTTTTTTCATCTCGCGGATTCTCGTCTATGTAAACAGGTCTTGGGCCAAGAGGCGCGTAGCCGGCTAACCGCTCTGGAGGAGAGCTACTTGAGGATTCTCAGAGTGAGAAATGCAGAAGAGAAAGGTGAGATTTGCCTGGGTGGATGACCGTGCAATGCTTTGACAATACCCCTCAATGTCAGTTGCAGTAAATGGAGATGCTGAGGCACCTGCTGACGAGAAGGAAGACACAGTTTACAATCATCCGCTTTGGTCATGCGACTACAAAGCGGATGATCGTAAACTTTGTCCTTCTTCTCGTCAGCAGGTGCCTGAGCATTGGTTGGGCCATGATTCAAAGACTTTGTCACATTTCTGCAATGCGGACACAATAACGATCATAGCAATCTCCTCATGTACCTACTGGTACATCTAATTCAGAAATTCTACGATTTATCTGCACAAGTATCCAATATTAGTCTGCCAAGCAACAGTAGCACTATACTGAAGATGTGTGGCCCTGAGCAAGGACGACACACATAATCGAGAAATTGTCCCCCCAGAAAAAGAAAGAGGAAGAAAAGAAAGATCCACTGCCATAATGTTTTGTCTTTTCCGGTTGCTGCTGAGTGTTGGAGCGATGCCCTTCGTCCTACAAGATTTCCAGGGGCCGCGATGCACTACTTTCGGGATTACGAAAATGGGAACGCATTTTACACTGGAACACGGAAGGATACAGAGAAGATCAGCATGGTCCTGCTAAAAAATGGTGATTTCTGGCAATCGAGCTGTTCATGGCTCTCTGACGACGAGCCCGCCATTTGTGCCTTCGCCTGCTCCTCTGTTAGTAGCATCCGCCCTATGGAAAAAAAGAAAATGTTGGACATAAAAACTTAAAAAGGAAGAACGGAAAAAAAGGAATGAAAACAAGGGAGGGGTAAAAAGGTAAAAATCAGCACAGAAGTACCGGTCGCCAGCATTGGAGGACCGGTTGCCCCCATATCACGACCGCTAACCAGCTGCATTCCCATATGACAAAGAGGCTCGTGGGCAGAGGGGGGGGGGGGGAGGATACCATCATTTTTTACATGCACAGGTACAGCAGACGCACCTGGGCGTGATGGCCAGGTGGGAAAAACTTCCTAGCTTTTTAGTTCATTTTGCGTTATCGGGGTTCACTGCATTTATATAGGGTGTGCATAAACCCTCACCGGCAGGTTCACGATGGTTATACTGGGGGTTGAACCTTAAGGCCTGCTCTTCTAACTCGTTGTGGTTGTCCATCTTACCTGAATGGGATGTGCAGTCATTATCGTTGTACCTATAGACTAAAAGTTGCACCAAGCGCAGCTATAATGACCCTACGTTCTGTTTGGGAAAAGTCAAATTGTGGCTTATTAAGTTATTAGGGCTTCGAGGCCGTGACCCCGGTTGCACTCTGACTTTTTGTGTTCACTACTGTTTTACTGAAGTTATGCCTTGGGTGTACTTGTTGAGCAAACTTGAACCCTGAACCTTAACTGCAAAATGCTGGTCTCCCTCCAGTTGGTTGTGTTTGTCATTAGGCTGTCATAATAGTTTGTTTACTGTTTAAATTTGAAAAACTGTCAAGTTCTACTGGAGGACCTAGAGTCAAACTAAGGTAAAAAGTGTAAGTCCTACTGGGGGACCTAGAGTCAAACTTGGGTAAAAAATGTAAGTCCTACTGGAGGACCTAGAGTCAAACTAAGGTAAAAAGTGTAAGTCCTACTAGAGGACCTAGAGTCAAACTGGGGGACAGCATTCCTGCCCATGTAGATTTAGTCCAGCAACTCTGGTTTCACGGAACTTTGACCACGAGTTCATGTTTTTTTTGCAATTGGACTGTGGCATAAACTCTTGGTTCCTATCAGCGTGCATGGTGCTCACACCATTGCAAAAGCCTAGACCAGTCGTTAACCGTGCACATTGAACCTTTGGTTTCTTTGTTGTCTCACTGCGGCCATAATCGTTCTCTCTTTTTCTTTCTTTCTTTCTTTCTTTTTTTCTTCCCTGAAGCTGAACCTGTTTCATCCAGTGTTAGATTGTGGTGTCTTATTCTGCTTTCACCGTTGTAAAAGTGTGGTCATGCTCGTACTCCACCTTTTACTACTATCATACTTGTAGTTAACCTTTTACTACTATCATACTCGGTAGTTAACCTCTTACTACTATCATACTCGCATGGAGTTGATTTTTTGAGTTTTTTATTACCTCAGTAGGTACTTACCCTTTTACTACTATCGTACTCGTAGTTAACCTTTGACTACTATCGTACTCATCGTTAACCTTTTACTACTATCGGTTGTCTGTCTGAACCACACGATTGTGATGCAGCAATTTTATCATGTCAGCATTTGCTGCATGGGAATGAGAGTCATGCGGCAGAGCGCCGGGTCCAGACAAGGGACCTTGCAGCGGCGAAAGCAGCGCTGGAGCTGTGCAATAATACAAGCCGGGTTATCCAGAGTCAGGTAAAGGTTTCTACCCCACCGTAACCATTTCCCTTTTCCATCTTGGTTGACCTTGTTCAAGGCTTCAAGCGTATCAAGTTCTCAAGACTGTGATCCTCTTTTTTTTTTCTTTTTCTTTCTTTCTTCCTTCCTTTTTTTTTTTCTTTTTTTTTTTGACCCCAAAGGCTCCTT